CTCACCCCAGTCAGAATTGCAAAATTTAACAGAACAGCAAGCAACAAATGCTGGTGAGGTTGTGGAGAAACTGGAACCTTTATTCACTGTTGGTGGGAGCGTAAAATGGTGCAACCACTGTGGAAAGTGGTGTGGCGCTTTCTCAAAAAGTTACAAATAGAGATACCGTTTGACCCACCAATTCCACTATTGGGAATATACCCTAAAGAGACCATAACTGCTATGTAAGCAGATATATGCACACCCATGTTTATCGCAGCCTTGTTCACAATAGCAAGGAGTTGGGAACAACGCAAGTGTCCATCAACAAACGATTGGATAGAGAAGCTGTGGTATATTCACACAATGGAATACTACGCTGCATTGAAAAACAAGGAACTTATGCAGTATTATTCAAAACGTTGTAGTATGGAACTGACATCAGGGTTGGGGTAAGACTGAGAAAAACTGGATAAATTATGCATACTGCATTGAAACAGATGAGTGCGAGAACAGAAGTGATATATGATAGGGTATTATGGTTATCACAAGAGTCCAGAATTAAGGTTGCATAGTAGAGTGTACTTGGAGTGGCAGTGGGGTGGGCGACTGTATACCAATGAAGGAATTTTAAGAGAGGAGCAAACTGGCAGGGAGAAAAGTGCAACAATGAATGAATGGAAATCCAAAATCTCTGTAAATGTTCATTAAAATTAATTTTTTAAAAAAGAACATGCTTATAAAAAAATACTGTACAATTCCACCTCCTCTCCCTCTCTCTCTCTCATTGTTGAGTTGGACCTAATAGCGGACCCTCCAGAGAATTTCCAAGCCTGTAAACCGCACTGGAAGAGACTGACCCATCTTTCTTCTTTAGAGTAGCTGGTGGATTCAAACTGCCAGATAGGCTCAGACTGTGGGTTAGCAGTGCAAATTCTCTACAAACTAGGCCACCACTTATCCTTAACAGAATTATATAATTAATATATTAAGATGACATACTTATGGAGACTAATGGAGAAATCAGATTAAAAATGTCTGATTTTTTTCCTAAAAACTATTTTTATTTTCTCTGGGATGTGATCTTAAATTTTCCTATTTTTCACTTAAGCATATTTCTCTTTTTATTTTCTATGATTATGCATTGGCTTTAAAAAAAATTTGTATTTATTTATTTTTTTCCAGAGGTTTTGGATTTCCATTCATTCACTGCTGCAATTTTCTCCCTTCCCACCCCTCCCCACCAGCTCGCTTCCCCCTCCGAAGAGAGAAAAAAGGAAAAAAAAAGAAAAAATTCCTTCATTAGTATACAATTCCCACGTCCCTTCCCCCCACCCCCCACCCCGAGTACACTTCTCTATGCAACCTTAATTCTGGATTCCTGTGCTAACCATAATACTCAATCATATATCACTTCTAATCTGTTCTTTCCCTCATCTGTTTCAATACAATATACATAATTTATCCAGTTTTTTCTGTCATACCCCCACCCTGATGACAGACCCATTCTACAACAGTGGCACCATGCAGTATTTGTCCCTTTGTGACTGAGATATTTCACTCAGCATAATGTCCTCCAGGGTCACCCACTTTGAATAATATTGCATGAGTTCCTTGTTTTTCAATGCTGTGTAGTATTCCATTGTGTGGATATACCACAGCTTCTCTATCCATTCGTTTGTTGATAGGCCCTTAGGCTGCTTCCAACTCTTTGCTATTGTAAACAAAGCTGCAATAAACATGGGTGTGCATATATCTGCTTGGATGGCAGACATGGTCTCTCTGGGGTATATTCCCAGTAATGGGATTGCTGGGTCAAATGGTATCTCTATTTGCAATTTTTTGAGAAAGCGCCACACCGTCTTCCACAATAGCTGTACCATCTTACATTCCCACCAACAGTGAATAAGAGTTCCAGTTTCTCCACATCCTCGCCAGCATTTGTTGCTTGCTCTTCTGTTATATTTTGCTATTCTTACTGGGGTGAGATGATACCTCATAGTTGTTTTTGCACTGGCTTTTAACTGTATATTTTTAAAGTCTTAAATGTAAGCCACACGCAAATAGTACATGAAAAATAGCTTTAAAAATAATCTTCTAAAAATAGCCACATTTTCATAAATAGCTTTTGTTGACCTTGCTTCCTTAGCTCCCAACATTTACACTTTCTGATTTTCTTTTTTTTTTAATTAAATTTTATTAGTTTTAATGAACATTTACAGAGATTTTGGGTTTTCATTCATTCATTCATTGTTGCACTGTTTACTTTCTAACTCTAGTCATGTGTTCTGGAGTCTTGTCTGGAAAAGAACAATTCAAAATCATGTTATATGTACAGATGACCCTTCTTTGCATCTGTTCTTACCAGATTCATTTCTCATATTTCTGCACTTGTCCTGTTTGCTCCAATGGGCTTTGAATACCCGCAAAATCTCTTAGCTACACTAGTCATACTTTGACTTTCTAATGATTAAAATTAAAAGCTCTAAGGAGTACAGGGAACTCAATGAAATGAATTTACCTCACCCTTAGAGTCCTTACAGAATTGCTTTAACTTAGACTTGTCATGGTAACAATTGCTCTGATAATACAAATATCTATCTCCCCCTTATAAATTCTCACAGTGTGTCATCAGAGCAAATTAGTGTTCTTTATTTTGTATAAGGCTTATCACCTCTATTATACTACTTTCAGGGGCCTCTGGTGGCTTAGAGGTAAGAAGTTGCACTGCCAACCCAAAGGGCAAGGAGTTCCTATCTACCAGCGGTTCCTTGGGAGATAGGGGGGCAACCTCCTCTTATGCAATGTATATTGCCTCTGGAAACCTGCT